TAACAGCTATAAAACACACAATCTGGAATTTGAATGCATGGGGCAGGAAATGGAAGCACTTCTGTATCAATATCGTGTTGATATTGTCTTCTCCGGTCATGTAAGTGGAAACATATTTTGTTTTTTCTTGCAGATAGCATAACAGAATGTTTTATTTTTTGTCATTTTCTAAATCAAGTTTGTCTGGGATTTATGGGGTATAACATACAGCCAACTCATGTCTACCAAATGTTTTCCAGTTTTCCTGGGTTTCCCCGCTCTTTTTTTAATGCAGCAACTCTTATTCAACTTCTTATTGTACAAAATTATGGCATTACAATCACATGGGTCTATATAAGCGTTTTGACAAAAGTGGCAGAAATAGTTGGAACTCGGAAATAAACATTACACAAATGCATGTGCTCCTAAGGATTGACAGACGAAACATTCAAATTATTTACCTGTGGCATGGTGATGCAGTTCCATGTATCTATATCACAGGGAAATGCTCAAAATTCATGCATAAGTTTCTTGTTTCTTTGTGTTAGCTTTATTTTGTGCTTTATTTTCCTAGTGTTGACTGAATGGTACTATCTCTATTCTGTTACAATGTTATTTACATACACAAATCAAATGTTGGCAGCTAGGATAAGTTCATTACTGATTACGTAAACTACACACATCAGTTAAACGGCATGCATTTAGGTAAAAGCTCATGATAGTGCTTTAATTCTTTTATGGTGCATTCTGTTAAAAGGAATTCCAACTAATCTTATTTGCATAATGATTGGTGTCCAAGTAGGTCAAGAGGTTACTGGATAGTCTATCAACCTTGATGCTGGGGGTTCCAGTTCTCTTGTCATCTTGCCTAGACTGTAACATGATCATATATATATATATATATATGTGTGTGTGTGTGTGTGTGTGTGCGCTCTGTTAGTACTCTAGAATCCAAGCTTAAAAATGTGAACCTGTGTAATCTTAGTTAATTAACAAGGAATTAGTTTTTGAAGTGTGGGAAAATATTGAAATACCAACTTTCAAGTTGTTTTCCATTCCACCACTGAACATTTCTTGAAAATATTTGGGCTAAACCTTTTGGTCTTTCATTCTCTATGTTAAAATCAAAGGAAGTAGTCCTCCCAAGGATCCTTCTCTTCCTGAAGATTTTGAACAGAAATGAGATAAGTGAGAAAGTTCAGGACAAGTATGGTTAGTACCCACTTGGTTTTGAGGAGGATTGTCTAAGTGCATGAAAGTCTCACCTGAGAAGCAGTTCATCCACATTATTATTATTATTTTCAGAACACAGATAATTGCACAAGTTTATATACATAATAAATATAAGGATCTTGACTAGGATGCTGGTTGTTGAACTCCTGCTTTTTAATATTTCACCTTAGTGTTTCAAGATGTATATGTACACACATCCAAAATGCCATTAAGCAGATGGAGATTGAACATGGAATAATCCTTCACTTTCTATTTCCAAAACTCTTTTCTTTCTTTATCAGACAAAGTGACATATTATCTTCATTTCAGGTGCATGCCTATGAGCCAGATGAATAGAGTCTACAATTATACACTTGACCCATGTGGTCCTATTTACATAACAGTTGGAGATGGTGGAAACATGGAAATAGCTGATGTTGATCATACAGATGACAAATGTTCACCACAGAATACTTACCAGAAATGGGAGGAGCGTGCCATTTGAATTTCTCCCCTGGCCCTGCAAAAGCAAATTTTGTTGGGACAGACAACCAGAGTGGAGTGCATTTAGGGAGAGTAATTTTGGACATGGAATACTTGAGGTAAGATAGCTATTAATGCCATTTACTTGACTATGGGGCATTCTTGATAAGCATTCAAGCACTGAGAAATATCCTTGAAATGACTATTTGTCTGTCATAGCATTATCGACAACTCTTCTTCTACACAATCATATCATTTCATCAAACTAGTTTCTGAAAGGCTGTTTATTGTTTTGATTAGGGTTGTGGAAACATTTCTTAAATGTACCAGAATCATTTAATAAAGATGAGGGAAACAAGAACAACAAAAAGAATTTAGAAATACATGAAAATGGTTGGGAAATGTAAACTAAACCTAACGCAGTAATTAATTGATTGAGCATTGTTGAGATTTATATATTCATTCACATAAGGGAAGTATAGAATCCAAAATTTAATGTTAGATCCAAAAGTCATTTATTAATCACAAATGAAACAATGCTAAGTTTATGTGATTCAAAAGTTGCCTAAGGGATGTGGGTAAGTTGTGGAGAGAATGTTGCATTTTTTTTTGGTTTTATTATGCTTTATGATACAAAAAATAATATGAAATTGGGGTTTGCAGGTATGAGTTCTAGATGCAATATGGATCAATTGGCTGGGTTGTAGGTGCGACTCTTGGATATGCACAGGCTGCACGAAATAAGCGAGTGATTGCTTCCATTAGTGATGGTAGCTTCCAGGTAATTATGCATACATTTCAATCTTCATTGTACATAATATAGTTTTGATTTTTGTAAATTCTCCTTATCTTATGAATATTGTATATCTTCATCTTATGTCACCTAGCATGCACAATATGAAGGATTATAAACTTGAGGGATTGCTGTAATGGGATTCACTAGTCTGAATTTGTCCTTGTTAACACCTATTTTGGTGAATGCTTGGCAGGTGACAGCACAAGATGTGTCAACAGTGCTGAGATGGGAACAGAGGACCATCATCTTCCTTATAGAACCCGGGAATTTTTGTTTCTTAGTAGATGCTTTCATAGTCCTTGTATGTATAATTAGTTTGAATTGCATTTTTTGTGCCGATTTGTTTTGTAATAACTTTCAACTTACCACTAGGTGCTAGTTTAACTTTATTTCATCTTGGAATTGAAATATTTTTGCGTATTGAGAAGCATGAATTGATCTAGTATTATGTTTATCTAAATTTAGTCAATATATTGTATATTTTTCATCTTTATAAAAGGTATTTTTTTGGGTTAAATCTCACAAAATTAGCACAATTTATTTATTTATTTATTTTAAAAATAAAGGTATAACAGCGTTTTTAAACGCCGCTATAGAATACCCACGGTTATATTTTTAAAACAAAAATAACCTATAACGACGTTTTTAAAATGTCGCTAAATGTGGAGTGACGTCATTGTACCATAATGCAGCACATTTAGTGGCGTTTTATACTGATAAAGTGACGCTTTTAAAGCGTCATAAAGTTACAGCGACGACCGTATCTTTGGCGTTTGGTACTAAACGTCACAAAAACAATTAGCGGCGTTTTTGATAGCTATAGCGGCGTTTTTTAAACGCCACTAAAAGCTCAATTTCCAGCAGTGAAAAGAAGGTCCGGTATGTTTGGTTCATTCGGGTACGGCATGGGTACGCCACGGGTACGCTATGGGTACGATGTGGGTACGCCAGAGCCAATTTTTTTATTTTTATTTTTTGCCCTTGCAGATCAGCAATTATTTTTATTATTTTTATTTTTTTTTGGTGCCCTTGCAGATTAGTAATTTTGATATTTTTCTACTGTCCTGTCTGTTTGTATAAATTGTTGAAGCATATCAACAAATGATTGTGATGTTTTTAAAAAGCAATTTGAACCAAAAAAAATAACAAAGCCTATAAAGGGTAGTTCTGTATATGACTATGCATTATGCTTTTGTTTCAGATGCTCCTAGAATTTCTTTATAAAATCTTTAATCATAACAAACTTTTAAAGTTTATGCACAAAATATTAAAATTTGATGCTGTATTAGTTGATTAGTAGTGGTTGGGAATGATGCAATTTTATGTATTATGCAAATTGCAATTGACAACCTGCCCCAATTGATAATTTTTTTTCCTTTACTGTTGGCAATTAATTTTAAATCTTTGTTTGGTCTCTTGTTATTTCTTTGGTCTCACCTTATAAAATAGCAAATTGATGAGCAAAAAGAAAGATTTTAAAAATAAATTATGATTACAAATTCACAGTGCATAACATGTCAAAGTGAGAGATTTCACAAATATTATTTTTAATGCTTAATGGTTATAAATTATAGGAAAATGAATAGTTCTTTTTTTAGTTTTGATATTTAATTTTAATTTGTAAGTTGGATCCTTTAATTATAATTATATTTAAAAAAAAAAATATCAACGTACTGCAGCCATACCCGTATCGTACTTTTTTTTTAGTTTTACTGAATCGGCGTACCCGCACTTATATCCATACTGTACTTGTACCCGTACCGTACTCGTACCTGCACCTGCACCTGCACCTGCGCTTCCTTGATTCTAACACAAAGTTAAAAAGGTTCCCTCAAATCTGTCAACATGTGGCTCGTTTGGGACAACCATTTTAATATAAAAGCCAAAAAAATATTTTTATCTTTATTTTTTATATATTTTTACCGTAAAATATTTAAAAATTATTCAAAATATATTAATTTTTTTCATATCATATTTTAATAATGTAAAAAAAATTTATTAAAATAGTATGATTCAAATGAGTAAGTCAAGCAACCATGAAAGCTCAAGAAAAAAAAAAGGATTTTGAAGGAAAATTATCAAGTGCCCCAGTGGCACGATGTGCTTCTATTCTAAATCAATTAATAATTTGTCATGCTCTCTCACTATTTCATATCATCAACAGAAATTAAGGCCAAGTTTGGGAAGATTAAAAAAGTGTACTTTTTGTCTTTTTGGACTAAAAAATTGAGGTTGAAAATATGGATGTTTGGGTTAACTTTTTGACTTTTTATTGAAAAATATGTAATAAAAAATTGTAAAAATTGATTTATAGGGAAAAATTTGAATTGGGAGTTGTGCAGCTGTAATTGTTGACTTTTGGTGAATAGTGTTAACTTTTTAATTTTTTGAGTAACTTTTTGAGTAACTTTTTGACTTTTTGACTTTTTTAGAAGTGCCCAAACTTGGCCTAAGTGAGTCTCAGCCTTTCGGTATACAAAGTGGACGTGCCATGGAACACCAAATAACTTCTCCAACTAGAGATAAGGCCATGGCGTGTGGGCTGTGCTAAACCACACAAACTCACTCATTGATCCCTCCCTGACTACTCATTGATCCCTCCCACACCCAACCAGCAAACACAATCAGCTAGCTAGTTCATTCACATATGGATCTGATACTGTCATGCCCATTCCATCTTTTCATGCACCTTGTTCTCTTCTTCAGTCTAAGTTCTGGCTTTCCGCGTGTTGCTGCTCACTCTCCGCATTCCGGTAATGAGACCGATAAGCTAGCCTTGCTAGCATTCAAGGCTGCAATAACTTGCAATCCGTCTGGCGCTCTAACCACGTGGAATGCATCTATCTGCTTCTGTCAGTGGGTTGGTGTAACATGTGGCCGCCAACACCAGAGAGTCATTGCATTAAACCTGCACGATCAAAAATTGACAGGGCCTATTTCGCCTCACATCGGAAATCTAAGTTTTCTCAGGGAACTACAGTTGTCTAACAACAGCTTGAGTCATAAAATCCCCCCAGAGCTCAGCCGTTTGCGGAGACTGCAGATGTTGTCACTGCATAATAATTCAATTACTGGTGAAATTCCCACTAATATATCTGCTTGCCTTAACCTCGTCACCCTTGACCTTTCTTTCAATAAGCTGGCCGGGAAAATTCATATGGAGCTTGGTTCCTTATCTAAGCTTGAGATAATCTCATTTCGGAGGAACAATCTAGTAGGAGAAGTCCCATCTACTTTTGGGAATCTTTCTTCTCTTCAAAAGTTTATTGCACCAGAAAATGGTATTAGCGGGAACATTCCTGATGCGCTGGGTCGACTGACAAACTTGCAAGTTCTGGGATTGGGAGGGAACAGGTTGGTTGGCACCATACCTTCCTCAATATTTAATCTCTCTTCTATGGTAGTTCTTAATGTGGCCCTCAACCAACTTCGAGGGAGGCTTCCATCAGACCTAGGCGTTACTTCTACTAATCTCCAATTCCTCAGCTTCACTGAAAATTTTTTTACTGGGTACATTCCAATTTCCATATCTAATGCCTCCAAACTAAAACAACTCGCCATCGAAAGCAATAAATTTACGGGAAAGGTGCCTCCTTTGGAAAAGTTACATGATCTTCAATGGTTATGTTTTGCTGATAATAAGCTCGGAACTGGGGAAGTTGATGACTTGAGCTTTCTCTCCTCTTTAACGAACGCCACCAATTTGCTCTATGTGGGTTTGAGAAATAACAGTTTCGGAGGGAAGTTGCCTGAATCAGTCAGCAATTTCTCCATGAATCTCAGTTTATTATTGTTGGACAACAATAAAATATTTGGGAGCATCCCAACTGGGATTGGAAATCTAGTCAACTTGCAGCAGATTGAACTGGGGGAGAACCAATTCACAGGTAATATTCCTACTGATATTGGGAAGCTTCAAGAATTGCAAATTTTTAGACTCTCAAATAATAAATTCTCCGGAAACATTCCTTCTTCTTTGGGAAATTTATCCTTGTTATCGAAACTTGGTTTAAGTGGAAATAATTTTTATGGGAGAATCCCTTCAAGTCTAGGAAAATGCCAAATTTTGGAAGAACTAAATCTCGAGCGGAATAATTTCAGTGGTTCTATAACAAGAGAAGTTATGAGTATCTCGTCAATATTGCATCTTAACCTATCTCAAAACCATTTGACTGGTTTCCTTCCGGGAGAAATTGGAAACTTAAAAAATCTGGAAGTACTAGATGTTTCTGACAACATGTTGTCGGGTGAAATTCCAAGCACGATTGGAACCTGTGTAAAATTAAGATTCCTATATATGAAGGACAACAACTTCCAAGGGATCCTTCCTTTATCTTTAAGTTATTTGAGAGGTATGGAGGAAATAGATCTTTCTGTCAATAATTTCTCGGGAAAAGTCCCAGAATATTTGGAGAGCTTTTCCTTCTTACAGAAATTAAATTTGTCATTAAATGATTTTGAAGGTGCAATACCAGAAAGTGGCATCTTTACCAATGCAACTGCAGTTTTTGTTAAGGGTAACCCCAAGCTTTGTGGGGGTATACCTGAGTTACAACTGCACAGTTGCAATTCCAAAGGATCTACTCTTACCTTGAAATTAATAATCCCCACAATTTTTGGGCTTTTAGGACTAATTTTAATGTTGTGTTTCCTATATCTCTGTTGGTTTCAAAAGAGAACAAAAATGCCCTCTTCTAAATTTCTAGGAAACACGTTTCTGAAATTGTCCTACGAAAGTCTAGTCAAAGCTACTGATGGGTTCTCTCCAAACAATTTGATCGGTGTGGGTAGTTTTGGTTCTGTGTATAAAGCAATTCTTGATCAAGGTGGAAATGCAGTTGCAGTGAAGGTGCTACACCTTCAATTCCATGGCGCCTCCAAGAGTTTCATTGCTGAGTGTGAGACCATGAAGTGCATCAAACATCGAAATCTCGTCAAGCTTCTGACAACATGTTCAAGCATTGATCATCATGGTAATGATTTCAAAGCTCTGATTTATGAGTTCATGGTCAATGGGAGCCTAGAAAAGTGGTTGCATCCAATTAAGAATGAAGATGAGGCACATGAAGATTCAAGAACATTAAACCTTCTACAGAGATTAAATATTGCCATTGATGTTGCTTCTGCACTTTGTTATCTTCACCATCATTGCCTTGAACCAATTGTTCATTGTGATTTGAAGCCGAGCAATGTTCTTTTGGACAAAGAAATGATTGGACATGTAGGTGATTTTGGGTTAGCAAGATTCCTTCCAGAAGCCACCTATCATTCATTTGCCAATCAATCAAGTTCCATTGGCATAATAGGGTCTGTTGGTTATGCTGCTCCAGGTAAATGTGCCTTGTAGGCCCTTTTGTGTTTTCCATTTTTCCTTCACTTTCAAATAGAAGATAGAGTTGATTCACATTTCCATCGAGTCTGGTCATTCAATCACTAAAAAAAAGTTGGTTGTTCTTTGATTTTGTTCCTCACTGTTGTGTAGAGAGCATTTAGAAAAATCAACCGTACCGAAGTTAATGATAGCTATGAATATTGAGAGGAAGAACTAAACAATTAACACAGACAAATATAAAAATTGAGAGAAAAAGAAACAATCACAAAAGACTCCAGATATTACGTGATTTTGTTGAGCCTACATACACAGGTAATTCTACACCATGTATTTCAGCATTCCAATATGAAAGAAACAACATATATTTATATTAGAGAAATCCTATCCAAGTTTTTACACCCAAACCTACAAAGAATAGGAGTCTTGCTACCAAAACCACACTAAAACACTGAGTTTTACAAGTACAAAGTTAGTCAAAGTCAGCGTATTCCGCTTGAGCAGCTCTCTGGCTCCGCTTGGGCAGCTCTCTGGCTCCACTTGAGCAGACGAGCAGTAGCAAACAAGTCCCTGCAGTCGAATCTTGCTCAGGGGGACAAAATGCTTCACTCGAGTGGAAACCCGCTCCACTCCAGAACACCAAATTAACTCTTATTTGTACAAAATAGTAATTAAGTTCTGTTTATTTGGTTAGTAATAATAGCAATCCTCTAAACACCTAGTTATGTGTGTGGCAGTTGATTGCATATATTTAATCACAAACATGATGACAATGTTTGCTTAATTAATTGATATGAAATTGGATTCAATTAACTGTGCACCCACCTATTGACTAATTAATAAGAAGATATTAAATCATGATTTAATTGGTTCAATAAGTATCACTGGGAATCAATCAAGCTTTGTTTCAATTTTGGTCTTTTTCATGACATAAGCACACAAACCAAATGATGTCCTATGTTAAATAGTAAAGCTTACACTACTCCAAACTTGTTTTCTACAAGAAGTAGATTTGTAAATGATACATTACTATTCTTGGATATGCTTCTGATTAAATATCTTCACAATCGTAATTACTTCGTATGGTGCATGAATTGCAGAGTACGGCATGGGAAATGAGGTGTCAACATCTGGTGATGTGTATAGTTATGGCATCCTCTTATTAGAAATATTTACGGGGAAGAAGCCTACTGACGACATGTTTAATGGTAGTTTATGTCTCCATAACTTTGCTAAGATGGTCTTTTCCGAACAAATTGTGAGTGTTGTTGATCCAACACTAATTCAACAAATAGAAACGAGGGATGCAAACTTGAACATCAACAACGCTCATAATCAGAGGTCTGATAGCAGTCACAAAATTCAAGAGTGCGTCGTTTCAATACTCAAGGTTGGAATCGCCTGCTCACGAGAACTTCCAAGAGATCGACCCACTATTAATGATGTTGTTGCTCAGTTGCATGTAATCAAGGACACTCTTCTTGGAACTGGTGGAGTACATGGAGGCATAAAGCTAGAACTACCGTGCCATAATGAATAGGTATCCTTATCATTTTATTTTATTTAAAAAAAAAAATAAAAACTAGGGGTTTGGGAGAGAAGTTAGGTATCTTAACTATAGGAGCAAGTAGTATGTATTCAAATAATGCTCAACATGGTCTACAACTATCAATAATTAATGCTTAAGATATTAAAACCATTTTCTGTTTTTTCCTGAAAACTTAAGGACAAAATTTCAACTAGAAATTCACGTTACAAGAATGATTTAGATTATATAACAGAGACAGTTAATCGAGATTTTAGTCGACCTCTATTGCAAAAATCCTATTCAAGATCCCAAACCTCAGCTCCCATAACTTCAGTGTCACAAGTCCTTTCTTTTAGTGTTGAAGCATTAAAATCTTTGGAAAAAACTATGGTAGCTAGGGAATTTTGGCTTTGCTACCAAGTTCATCTAGCAACGTCTGGTGTAGATCTTTGTTTACGTTGCACTTGTTTCCCAAAAATAAGAAATATTTAAGAAAAAATTTATGTATCCGACTCCATCTGATTGAGACTTGAGACTTAATTTGATTTTATTAATTAAAAGGAATTCATGGACGGGTACACCTATTCCACATGAAATTTGCATGCAGTAAAGCTCAAAAAATGATACTGCAGGTGGGTATGTAGTGTTTCTTTTCTTGTTCTCTATTTTCATTTTTGATCTTATAAAGCAATTTGGTTTTACAATTAGAATAACATTTGTATATATCTTATGCAATAAGATAACCCCCAAGCACTTGATTTTCAAGCCGTTGCAGCTTAGTATTTTTTGTCTTCTTTTAATTGTTTGTCATATCTCATCTAGGGCTGCAAACGAACTGAATCAAGCTGAGCTTTGCTAAGTTTGAGTTTGGCTCGTTTACTTATCGAGCTCGTTTATTGAGCTCGAGCTCGGCTCAATAAAAAACTATGCTCGAGCTCGGCTCGGCTCGGCTCGGCTCGATAATTTTTTTTTAATATTATTTAAATAAAAAATATTATTTATATTATTTACTATATAAATAATGTATTTTTATTATTATTTATATTTATTTATATATTATTTGATATATAAATAATATATTTATTTTATAACTTAAATAAAGATAAACGAGTCGAGTTTGACGAGTCAAGCTTACGTGAGCTTGAGCTCAGCTCGATTGCTAAACGAATCGAGCCGAGCCGAGCCCTTAACGAGCCGAGCCGAGCCGAGCCGAGTTTGTTCATGAACAATTCGATTCATTTGCAGCCCTACTCATCTAACTGTGTTCGAAGTTCTAAAAATATTTTTTTTCTCTTCTCTCCTAGGAGCATGAGGTTTGATTGGAATTGAAGATATGCGTGAACTCCACAACTATATGATGCTGCAAATTATTGATTTGGCTGCGTGTTACATGTATAATCCTATACTTTAATTTCCTTTTTTTCCTTTTTTTTTTTTTTTTTAATTTTAGTTTGTCTCAAGCATTCTTGCAACTTTTTATCATTTAAATGTACTTTTAAGAAGGCTATAACTTCCAATGGCTATTTTGTGTTTTTGCTCTAAAGTAGGTTTCATAATTTAGATGAAGTGTCACTTTCATTATTCATAATTAAACTTTGCATCACATTTGCAACACTCCGTTATATGCTGCTAATATTTTATTACATCGGTGGTCTCTACTGTGTTTTTTAATTTTACTTTGGTCTCTAATTATGTATGTGATATTTTTTTGTTCAAAATTCTAATAACAAATGACTTAAGGGACAATATTTCAACAAAACAAAAAATATAAAATATAAATAGTTCAAATTAAAATTATAAAATTTGATGTGTCCATTATAATGTATATTTTATACCCTTAAAATATATAACTCAACAAAAAGTAACAAATCTCATTGTTTTAACTAATTGGCCTTGTTTGGGAACATGCTAATTTAGTAACTTTTTGGCTATTTGACTAAAATATGAGCTAAAAAAAATTAGTATGTTTAGGATGATTTTTTGACTTTTTACGAAAATATATGTAAAAAGTAGAGAGAAAAAAAGGATCTTTGACTTTTTGGTATGGATTGTTGACTTTTTGGCTAATTTAATAATTTTTTGACTTTTTAACTAAAAAGGAAGGTTTCCAAATGAGACATAAGTTGAGCACTACATAAACTTGTTCCACAATCACCACATAAACTTCCTTCACTCCAGTGTCGGCCTCTTCTTTCATTTTTCCTTCTACTTATTTGATCCAATTAACCCTCGGCAAATTGCAATTAAGGATGGACATGACCTCGATGGCTCATTAAGCCCGCTAATAATTCATAGGTTTTGAGATTATGGTTTAAGATGAATGAGTCGGATAGGAAAAGAATTTCGAACTCAATAATAATATGGACTGGGTTTAGAAAAAGTACTTAAAGCTCAATCTGCCTAGCCTCCAAACTATATTATACAATATATTTTACATTATTTAACTTTATTTTTTTATGAATATAAATTATGTCATATTAGTTACATAAAGAATTAGTTATGAAATTTAAACTACTAGCTTGAATAGGTTAAAGAGACATCAAAATGATTGAATTACTTATACTTATTTATTTAAAAAATAAAAAATATATATATCAAACAATATTCATGTCACCTGAGTAGATTTTGAATTTTTTATTTTGCTTTGAGACGGACTTAACAATATAGTATAAGGTTGATCTCGACCACTTTACCAAATTGATTTTAAACTTCATTCTTACTGAAAGGAATAATCGAACTTTAAAAGAAATGATGAATGCCATGTTGATAAGTTCTAGTTACCTCAGAACTTATGGAGGGAAACAATACTAATTATATTCTCTATAAAGTACCTCGAAAGAAAATAAATCAAACACTTTATAAAATATGGCATAGGAGAGTATCATCCTACAAATACTTGAAAGTATGGAAGTGTTTGGCTAAAATGGCTATTCTTAATCCTAAAAAGAATAAGATAGGTCCAAAAACCATTGACTATATATTCATCAGTTATGCCAATAACAGTACTACTTGTTGATTTTCGATTCATAAATAAAAACATTCAGAAATGTATCTAAATACTATTATTAAATCTAGGAATCCATTATTTTTTGAGCATGTCTTTCCTAACAAAATTGGATAGGAGATTAATACTAACAAAAGATTTTATGATTTTGGTGCTAGTAATGATCAAGAACAAGATCAAGTGCAAGAATAAGCACAAGAACAAGAGTTAGATCAAAAGGAAGAAGATGAATCTAGATGTAGTAAACGTGCTAGGACCTCAAAATCTTTTTGGACTAGATTTCCTGACCTTTTTATCAGAAAATGAGCCTTCAACTTTTGATGAAGCAATGTCCGATCTTGAGGCTCTTTTATGGAAAGAGGCTATAAATAGCGAAGTTAAACCCATCTTCGAAAACCACACTTGAGAATTGATGGATTTGCCACTGGGATGTAAATGTCACGATCCAAACTCACCCTTAAAGGTTTAGGTCATGATCGGCTAATAATCTCAGATTATCTTTGGCCTCAATAAAAAAATCACATCATAATATAATAACAGCGCTTAGCGGAAGCAATAACAAAATATAATTAAGTCCATTGAGCAATGCTTATATGATAACTTCATAAATAGAACAAGTCATTCACTATACTATAATATAATATTTACAACAAACTTCAAGTTCAACTTTGTACATAACATGTTTCACAATATACATATTACACTTTTATCAAAAAAAAAAAAAAAAAAAAAAAAAAAAAAAAAGAAGAAGAAGACAAACAAACAAACAAAAGACTATTCAAGAGGTTGACAAAAGCTTGGCTCCTTAAGAGACCAAGCAACACCCCATCACAGAGGCACCTCACATTCGGCTTCTCATAGGGTGGACTCCCAAAGCACCTCTAAATCTGATGATCCACGTGCTCACCTACATATATATAAGGAAGAGAGGTGAGCTTGAGCCTAGTGAGTAACATCAATATAAAGGATTTAATGAATGAAGTCCACAATATTTCATAAAACATAACTTTTCAATAATCAAAACAATTCGTTTAATAATCATATATCCAATCACCTCAATCCTTTGTGTTAGCAATAACCATTCAAATCATTATACGTGGCATCATCTAATAGAGTAACGATATATCAATGTGCCTATAACACTTCAAAGATAATTCCAATTTACCAACCATTAAGAACAAGTTCCATATTTCCAAACAACACAAGTCAATTCCAATATTTCTCTTTCTCATTGAACTATTGATTTGAACTTACAAAATTATATATTACAGTTCACAGTTCAATAAGTTAGAGAAAACAAAACCATTATCCCTTGGGTTTACTCAATACAATGTAGCCATTTACTACAAAAAGACACAATTCCACAAAATGATAATATAGAAGCTCAACAATTAAATTACAACTTCAAAGTTCACAAAAATTAAAGTTTAAAAGGGATGGTCTTCCTCTTCTTCATTGGCAGGGTTGTGGCTTATTGAATCCTAAAATGTTATTAGATAGAAATGAACAATTGCCTAGTAGAGAATATATTTAACCAAGTACATAAATATTTGATTTAAAATATGAATGATCACTACCAATACCCGTGGATTTAATGTTTTCAATTTTATAACACAACACACAACTATACATTCAATTCCACATTTCTTTGTCCTCACACAGATGGCCAGTGGACACCCCAATCCTTCCACATTTGTTGTTCTCACACAACTGGGCAAGTGGGCACCTCAAGACATTTCCGCATTTGTCGTCCTCACATGACCAGGCAAGTGGGCACCTCAATTTTCCCCACGCTGGTAGGCCATAAAGCACGACAAGCCACATTCCAAAGCTAACACCTTTATCATATTACAAGGAATCTCAAAACCCTTCAAATTGACTAATCAATTTCCTTTCCTTTTAAGTCATATTCCATGAACAACCTTTAGGGTTGAATAATAAATTTTGGAGCTTTTCCTCTTAAGTATTAATTTTCCTTCATTTGTGTCTTTTTACACTATCTTCCATTAATAGATACTTAATCCTTCATCAATTTGAACAAGACTCACTATCATCACAAAATCCACATGTACATACACATTTAGACATATATATATATATATATATCACCCATTTCAAATTATCCACCCATACCATAAGTTTTATACACATTTAAACCAAATTATAGCTATACAAGGGTAAAGATATTCCTACCTCAAAGGTTGTGAGTGAAGAGATGAAGGCAAAAGGAATGAACTTCCAAAATAACACGCTCTAATCGGTTCAAAATGTAGCTTTCGGCGAGATTAACAACTTTGATAAAGGCACAAGGATGGATCCTTGCTATAAATAAATGAAATCTAGTGTTTTAACGCTAAGGTTTTCAAAAAAATGTTTTAGAGAGAGAAAGAGTATGAAAAAGTGAGCCCAAAATGTGTTTAGCTCGAGTTTTAACGCTGCTGTCCCGAATAGACCGCTCGAACGACCTTTCCACTGCTCGAGCAGTGAACACAATGTCCTAGAAGTTTTGCAAAGCTACAGTAAAAATACTGGGAGCCTCACATCTTCGCTCGAGCGACCATGTGACCGCTCGAGCGGTCTCGCCTGCAACCACGCAAGATATTGGAAGCTTTGCATCACTACTCGAGCGACCGATTGACTGCTCAAGCGGTTCCCCAGAACTAATTGTTACAACCTACCCTCCTTAAAGAATTTTGTCCCCGAACTTTTGTAACTCTTGCCAAAAGAACTCCAACAATTCTGAAGGAAGATGAATAACATATTAACAATAATTTCAAACATCACAGCCTCGCTGATCAAAAATGAAGTTAAATCAGAATTCTAATAATGACATGAAGATCTAAGTTTTTTCCCATTACTTTCCTCTACGGATCACAATACATATTATCGGAAAACAACAAATAAACAAGTTTACATATCATTAAACAAATCTGTGTATTTCTCA